GAGGAGGATTTATACCCCGCCCTTCACTTGGAGTCTCAGAGCGGCTTACAAACTCCTTTCCCTTCCCCTCCCCACAACAGACACCCTGTGAGGTGGGTGGGGCTGAGAGAACTCTGACACAGACTGCTCTTTTTCAAGGACAGCTGTGCCACATCTTGTGACTGACCCAAGGTCACATCAGCAGGTGCAAGTGGAGGAGTGGGGAATCAAACCCGGTTCTCCCAGATTAGAGTCTGCACACTTAACCACTACACCAAACTGGCTCTCTAAGCTTCAAGAGGGCATTGGATAAACATATGGAGCAGAGGTCCAGCAGTGGCTCTTAGCCACAAGGTGTAGATAGGAACTCTCAGGTTGGGGCAAGTGATGCTCTTTCTTCTTGGTGCTTGTGGGGGGGGGGGCAAGCAGCGGGAGGGCTCCTAGTGTCCTGGCCCCACTGTTGGACTGGAGGGGCCATTGGCCTGATCCAGCATTGCCTTCTCTTATGTATTTCTGTTTGGATAAGGTGTCCCTACTGTAAATAGTGGAATAGTGGCCGTTCGTGTCCCCCTCCCCCCCACTGTGCCTGGTGGGTGACTGGTCGCCTCGTAGTCAGGGAAGTTTCAGAGGGAAGCCATATTGGTCTGCTGTAGAGCAGCTAGATTTGAGTCCCCTAGCACCTTAGAGACTGACAAGATTTTTCTTGGGGGGTGGGGGTGTATGAGCTTTGCGTCTCAAAGACTCATACCCCGAAAATCTTGTTGGTTTTTAAGGTGCGGCTGGACTCGAATCTAGATATTTGGGAAACAGTTGCTTCTACATTACAGCAGACTGTCAGTGTTGTTTTTACTTTGAATTCTAGTTTAATTGCTGATGTGCTCAGAGTCATACAGATACGGGTGGGTAGTCATGTTGGTCTGAAGCAATAGAACAAAGTCTGACTCCAGTGGCACCTTGAAGACCAACCGAGTTTAATTCTGGGTATAAACTTTTGTGTGCATGCACACGAAGGTTGATGCCCAGAATTAAACTCGGTTGGCCTTAAAGGTGCCGCTGGACTTCGTTCCAGAGTCACACAGTAAGCTTTACGGATGAGAAGGACTTGAACAGGGTTTATGGGTGTTCCTGTCTTGCTTGCAAGAGGCCTGCTGGCCCCTCTCTCTGTGTCCTTTCCACTTACAGTTTTGTATCCCCCAGCCTCAGCAGCCTGGCTTCACCCTGCGCTGGTGACATTTCTTGCAGCCATCCAAGGTCTCTTTTCCCCTCTCTTGGCCGGTGTCAGACACAACAAAGGCTTCTGTCGCCCAGGTTCAGAGGGCCTGACAGACAGTTCCTCCTGGCGGGGAGAAAGGTTTTTCCCCCCCGAGCACCGGCACTTAGCAAGGTTGCGTCCCACATTAATCACAGCCAGGTTAACGGCGAGGGTCTTCTGTCTTCTTCCCCGCCCGCCTTGTCTGGCAAGACAAGAGAAATCGCTCAAGGGGGCAGAGTGGCTCTGGAGCGCCTAATTACCACTGAGCCGGCTGTCCTGTGATATTAACGAGGCGGCAGCGTGTGCAGCCTCTGCGTGCAGCTCATGGTAGATAGAGCCTTCCTCTGTGCACCGAGGGGAGCAGGAGGTTGAAAAGCTGTCGGGGAAAACGCAGAGGATTAACGGTCCCTCCTCTGTCTTAATATACTGAAGTGATTCCCGTCCATGCCTGCGGAGTCGCTCCTGATTTACAAGTGCGAGCGAGAGGGGAGTTGGCCCCCCCGTGACTCCGATTAGGAGTTATGCCTTGTAGCAGCCCCTACTGCACAGCAGAGCGACTTTGTATCTGTGACCGTCAGCCCCTCCACAAAGCCCTGGCGATTTTTCTTTTCATTCCTAGCTTGCCACAGCCCCTAGACAAGGTGCAGTGTGACAGCTAAGGTGTCCTCTGGTGTTTCCAGCTAGTGCTTCCTACCCCTCCGGGTTCAGTGCCCCTATTCCTTCACCTCCCAAGCTGTTAGGTATTGCAAGTTGAAAACACTCAGTATGTTGTTGTTGTTGTTCAGTCGCACAGTCGAGTCCGACTCTTCGCGACCCCATGGACCAGATCACGCCGGGCCTTCGGGTCTTCCGCTGTCCTCTGAAGTTTGCTCAATTTCATGTTCGTTGCATCGATGACACTGTCTAACCATCTCATCCTTTGCCGTCCCCGTCTTCTTTGACCTTCAGTCTTTCCCAGCATCAGGGTCTTCTCCAGTGAGTGCTCCCTTCTCATTGGGTGGCCAAGGTATTGGAGCTTCAGTTTCATTATCTGGCCTTCCAGGGAACAGTCAGGGTTGATTTCTTTTAGGATTGACTGATTTGATCTTCTTGCAGTCCAAGGGACTCTCAAGAGTCTTCTCCAGCACCATAGTTCAAAAGAATCTATTCTTCGGCGCTCGGCCTTCCTTATAGTCCAACTCTCGCAGCCATACATGACTACTGCTTTAACCGTGCGGACTTGCAAGTTGAAAACACTCAGTATATCTAGGGTTAAATGTTTGTTTATGTTACTCACAGGAAGTCACATGTTTCTCGTGTAACCAATGTTCTTTAGATGTGGAAAGCCCGGGAAGCTGATCTAGGAATTTGATCGGGACTAAAGTGTCAAGGTATATTACCATTTTATGGCTTCTCTTCCCGTCTTTGTTTTGTGTTCTGAAGAAGAAGAAGAGTAGCCATACTCTCTCTCTCTTCTAGTTTTGTCTTTGTAGTGTAAGGATGTAGCCGATTTTGCTCTGTTGTTATTTTCATCCTAGCTACCCTTCCCATGCTAGAATTTAGTAAAAACTTTATATTTTAATCACACATGGACTCTGAGTCTGAATTATTTTACTCTGGCTCTGCTGGACTATCTTATCTCTGCTAAATACCATTTTTTCAATATCTCAGTATCACCCAACACATGGCCTCCCGTTAAAGAAGTCTCAGGTTGCAAGACTGGTCTTGGGTCTTGATTGTTCATCTCACACAACAACAGGAATGGTTGTATTTCTTAAAATTTGTAGATCTCCTCCCCTCGGTTGGCCTTGATGGATCTGGTCGGGGAGCCCATCAGGACTTGAGGGAACTGACCCCCCTCACCTGAATGGAGCAGACAGGTGTGTGCACATGTGTGTGAGAAGAGTGCGGTAGCAGGCAGCCATTGCTGTAAGGAGTAGAGGATCTTTCCGTCTCTGGGATTTGATGTGGGGTAGCGGATCTGCTATCATTTGGCCACCAAATGAGAAGGGAGCACTCACTGGAGAAGACTTCGATGCTGGGAAAGATGGAAGGTCAAAGAAGAAGGGGACGGCAAAGGATGAGATGGTTAGACAGTGTTATCGATGCAACGAAGATTAATTAAGCAGACTCCGGAGCACGATGGAAGACAGGAGGGCCTGGCGTGACGTGGTCCATGGGATTGTGAAGAGTCGGACTCGACTGCATGAGTGGATCTGCTGCTCCGTAGGAGCACTGCTCGGCTTCCACCTGTGATCTGCTTGAACGTTTGAAAATGCAACAAATGGCACAGAATCACCGTAAGTCTCCAAAGGGTACCAACTTGGGTAAGTGCTAGCCCCCGGAATCTCTCACCACATGGAGAAGTGGGGTCTGTGTCAACAGTGGAAGTGCGTTTCCTCGGAGAGAAACTGTGAGCTGCTTTGCTCGAGCCAGAATGGAGGACCAGACGTTCCTAGAAGAAGCGGCTGTTCCAACAGCAAAGCCAGAAGCTGGAAGCCAGGTTCCAGAAGTAAAGCCAGCAGTTTTGAAGCCAAGTCCCAGCAAGCTTCAGAGAAAATGAAGGCCTTGCTGCGAAAACCCCCCCCAGCTGATGCATTGCCCAGAGTTATAAAAGATCTAAGTGAGAGCCATGCTTCAGGACAGCCAATACAGGGGCTCTAGGCTGACCACAAAGCCTCCTTGCAAAGAATCTTGTTGGGGCAGTTCAAAGGGATCAAGGAGGCGGATGAGCTGCTGATGGGCTTGAACTGTGAACTTGTGCATCCAGTCACTGAAAGCAAAAGACCTTCTCTGTCCGGGAGGCTGCCAGCACTTACGAGAGTAGAAAACTGAGGAGGAAGCCCAGAGAATCTCTGCCGTGAGTGGGGTTAGAGACTTACTGTTTAAAAAACTGAAACCGGGAAATTCAGAGAACCTGATAGATCAGGGGTGTCAAACATGCGGCCTGGGGGCCAGATTAGGCCCCCCCCGGAGGGCTTCCATCAGGCCCGCAGTGGAACTGGCCATCTCCTGCTTCCAGTTTTGCTGCTCCTGCTGTATCATAGCTTGCTTCGCCAGACTCTCATAATCAGCCATTTCATGTTTTCCCCTGGGTCCTAGACTCAGAATTCTGAGCATGAGATTTCTGGGGTGAATGTCAATAAATCAAAAGCAGGCTTGCAGCTTACAGAGCTAATGTTTTAAGCATGTTGTTATTTTAAGTAAAAAAACCTTTGTGTCTGTGTCCTTTATAAAGTTTATATCTCTGCTACCTGGCATTACATTTTATGACGCACACGGCCCGGGTCCAACAAGGTCTCATTTATGTCAATCTGGCCCTCATAACAAATGAGTTCGACATCCCTGTGATAGATGGTAGTTACAACATTATAATATTATATATGCCAATTGCTGCTAAACAAATACAAAGCCCTTCGAGTGTCAAGCAGGGGAAATGGTGTCAACGTGGGCGGGACCGGGAAGATCTGGACTTTCCCATCGACGGGGGTGCCAGCTCCATTTACTTGTGTTTTTTTCTCTCAAAATACCAGTGAAGTGGATTCAGGAAAGTTGGGGGAAACCCTGGAAGTGAGTGGAAGCACCGCCAGATAAAGACGTGTGCCCAGACTTAAATCTGAAGTTTGATCTGTAACCAGAGTTGGGTCGGCCTGAAATCCATTTCAGAAGCAGCATGAAGGAAAAAAAGAGAAACCGCTCCCACGACTTGCCACAGAGAAACGTTTTGATTCAAAATTCTGCTTGTTCTTAATGGAAATGTGCCTGGAAGAGCCTTTTCCAAGCAACAGGAATGACCCTAAGCTTGGAATCCTACTTCGCTTCAGAGCCAAGAGAAGTGCCACTCATCAAGGAACCTGTGCTTGGTGAGGGGCTGGTTTTGGAATTAGGTGCTTGGATAACTCCCTTGCAGCAAGGAGAGCTGGAGATTGTTGGAAGACCCAGAAAGAAGGGATTGTTGCAAAGTGTTGCGATTGTTAAGATTTATTATTTTTTTTTGGCTTGTGTGCATTGTGTTGGGGCGGGAAAGAAAAACATGGTTTGACTGTTTAAGTCTGCTGCTGTAGTGCAGCACAAACGTAAAAGAGGGAAGACGCCTAGGGCTAGGATATTTATTTATTTATTTATTTATTTATTCAATTTCTATACCACTCAATCCCGTAGGCTCTGAGCAGTTTACATAGGCATATGTAGTTCCTATCTAGGGCCACAGTGTATATATAGGGGAGGTGAGTGCCTACCAGGCACCCTACCAGCTTGTTCTTTCTTCTTCCTGTGGCTTCGTGGTGGGTTCTACTTCGTGGTGGGTTTTATCTCGGTGCGGCTCCGCAGCGGCTCCTTCTGGGTTGGTTCCATAGTCCGCGTCTCTGCGACTACTGCTGCACCGGCCTCTGTCTAATTGGCTCCGGCCGTGCTGCGTCGGCGCGTCTCTGGACCAGTCCCCACCCGGAACATCTGCAGCTTGATGTTGGTTTCGCCGCCATGTTCTTTGATATACCTTCCTGGATAGCAGTTGATATGGGTACAAAGGGGAATCTTTTTATCCCGTATCTCTTGAGCGTGTCAGAAATCTATTCTTCGGGCTTTCACTAAGTGTAAAGACTGCATGGCCCCGGCTAGCCTGATCTCACCAGATTTCAGAAGCTAAGCAGGGTCAGGCGGTCCTGGGTTAGTACTTGGATGGGAGGCCACCAAGGAAGTCCAGGATTGCTACGCAGAGGCAGACAATGGCAAACCACCTCTGAACGTCTCTTGCCTTGAAGACCGTATGGGGTCGCCATAAGTCAGCTACGATTTGATGGCACTTTCCACTACCAAATGACTGCTCGGGGAAATCAAGAGACGCTGAAATGTGAGAGCAATTCATGAGTGTAGGAATGGGCCTGAAGGTGTAACAATCGCTTTGAGTCAAGGAGGAAGTGTAAATCCGGAGAGGCCCTTGGATTAGTCTGTTGCACCAAAATTACACAGGAGTCTATTCAGTCATAGAATCATAGAGTTGGAGGGGACCTTGCAGGTCATCTAGTCCAACCCCCTGCACTTTGCAGGAGCATAGCCAAAAGATAGCCCTACAACATACCCAGCGAAGGAGCATCCACCACCTCCCAAGGCAGTCTGTTCCAGTGCTTAACCACTCTTACAGTTAGGAAGTTTCTCCTGATATTGAGCCGGTGTCGACTCCCTTGTAATTTCCACCCATTAGATCTAGTCTTGCAATCCGGAGCAAGAGAGACTAGATCTGCTCCATCTTCTATATGACAGCCCTTCAAATGTTTGAAGACTGCAGTCATGTCCCCTCTAAGCCTTCTCTTTCCCAGGCTAAACAGACCCAACTCTTTCAGCCATTCCTCGTAAGACTTGGATTCCAACCCTCTCACCATCCTGGTTGCCCTCTTCTGGACACGCTCGAGCTTGTCAGCATCCTTCCTAAAATGTGTTGCCCAAAACTGGGCACAGGACTCCAGGTGAGGCCTGACCGTAGCAGAATAGAGGGGAACGACCACCTCCCGTGATCTGGACACGGGAGCACCTTAAAGGAAGAGACGTGGCCCTTTCATGTTACTGATGGTGAAGGGTTGAACAAAGACTGGAACAGGAGGAGTTGGAAGGGCCAAACTTGCCATGGCTGTATTCTGCCACCCTGACTTAACTCAGAGAGCCGTACGTCAGGTGCAAGGAAGCGTCTTTCCCCGAGTGTCTGCGGCCTTGATTTGAATCGGGACTGTGGCCCAGAGGGAGAAGCAGCTTCACCCTCCCCTCCTTAGGCAAAGGGAAACCCAGGTACGCTCAGGAGAAATATCATTGCTATGAGATGAATAATCTTGTATGTTTTTGTTCTCTTGTTTGTTTTCCCCCTAATATAACTCATCAGGCGCTTAGACCGTCTCTAGGTACTGGGTGGTGTAAGCGGTGGGTCTCCTTACCCGGCAAAAGGAAAGGTCATGTGTCTTAGCAGTTGTAGATACCACGTTAATGGCTTTGGGCAAGCAGCCCCATCAGGTGTGTGTGAGAAAAGCTGCAGTCCCGATGCTGGGAGAGAGAGGCAGAAAGCCGTTGCTGGGCATCGGCTGAAGCCCTGGAAGGTGTGGCATCTTCCCCCGGGATCTGACGTGGGGCAGCAGATCTGCTGTCCTGTGGAAGTGCCTCCTTGCCTCCACCTGTGTTCTTCTCATACTACAGCAGTTTGGTGTAAGTGGTGAAGTGCGCGGACTCTAATCTGGGAGAACCGGGTTTGATTCCCCACTCCTCCACTTGCAGCTGCTGGGTGACCTTGGGCAAGCCATAGTTCTCTCAGAGCTGTCCTTGAAAGGGCAGTTCTCGAAAGGGCTCTCTCAGCCCCACCTACCTCACAGGGTGTCTGCTGTGGGGAGGGGAAGGGAAAGGAGTTTGTAAGCCACTCTGAGACTCCGAGTGGAGGGCGGGGTATAAATCCAATCTCCTTCTCCTCGAAATACTACAAAAATTTAAGTCTCCAGCTCTCTGTTACCTACAAAGGGCAATGAGCCAAGGTTATTGCTGCCCCTGGAACTTTTTTTATTTGTTTAATTATTTATTAATTTATTTACATTATTGTAGTCCAGCTTTCCCACTAGGACTCAAGGTGGATTACAGAGTGAGTCAATGCAGTCGGCAGATGGGACGTTCAACAAACAACACAATAGGATCAGGGTGGTAGAACCAGCCAGAAATCTAAAAAAAACAACAACCCAGAAACTGAAGCAAAGCATAAGTATTAAAAATGACACATTAAACGATGCCAGATTCCACAGCAGGTTATCCTGGGTTCGTCAAGCTATACAGAACAGTATAAGCCACAGTCCCTAATAATTTTTCCAAGTAGCTTTGTGAACCGTTTAGTACAGTGCAACTTTGTTGCCTGTGTTTTGCCACCACTCAGTGGACCTGGGAAGGACTCTCGCTCGAGACTTTGGAAACCTCGTGCCGGCTACAATAGAGAGTGCTGGGCAAGACGGACCAGTGGATTGACTGGGTACTAGTCAGCATTCCTTGACCTGGACAGCCCAGGCTAAGCCCACTCTCATCAGATCTTGGAAGCTGAGCAAAGGACATTATAGCATTGGGAAAAGTGCAGAAAAGGGCAACTAGAATGATAAAGGGGTTGGAACACTTTCTCTATGAGGAAAGGTTAAGGCGCTTAGGGCTCTTTAGCTTGGAGAAACGACGGCTGAGGGGTGACATGATTGAGGTTTATAAGATTGTGCCTGGGATAGAGCAGGTAGAGAAAGAGGCACTTTCCCCCCTTTCTCACAATACAAGAACTTGTGGGCACTGCATGAAATTGCTGAGCGGTCGGGTTAGAAGGGATAAAAGGAAGTCCTTCTTCACCCAAATAGTGATTAACACATGGAATTCATTGCGACAGGAGGTGGTGGCCGCTACAAGCATGGACGGCTTCAAAAGAGAATTGCAGAAGCATATGGAGCAGAAGTCCATCGATGGCTATTAGCCACAAGGTCTAGATAGAGACTCCGGGGCAGGTGATGCTCTATAGCTTGGTGCTTGGGGGGGGGGGAACAGTGGGAGGGCTCCTAGTGTCCTGGCCCCACTGCTGGACCTCCTGGTGGCCCCTGGTATTTTTGGCCACTGTGGGACACAGAGTGTTGGACTGGATGGGCCATTGGCCTGACCCAACTTTGGCTTCTCTTATGTTCTTATGTCAGCCCTGGTTAGTACGTGGATGGGAGACTGCCAAGGAAGTCCAGGGCTACAACGCAGAGGCAGGCAATGGCCAACCACCTCTGTGGGTTGCTTTCCTTGAGAACCCTGTGGGGGTGGCCATAAGTCAGCTGCGTCTTGGCAGCCATTTCCACCACGAGGGAGGAGACATCAGGACCGAGCAGGAGGGATCCAGTTGGCAACTGCAAGGAAGGGGGATTGCAAATGGAGGGTAGGGGAGAGAGTGAGGAGAAACTGGAGGGAGAGTGACGCTCAGCCATGTGCTGTTGTGAGGTAGGAGAATGTCAGATCTGAGGCATCGGTGAGGCTGGTTGTTTTCCGGTGCATAGCAGTGTTAGCTGACCAACTGGACATGAGAACAGAAGAGATGCCAATGTTGGATCCGGCCAATGGCCCATCCAGTCCAACACTCTGTGTCACAAAGTGGCCAAAAATACCAGGGGCCATCAGGAGGTCCAGCAGTGGGGCCAGGACACTAGAAGCTCCTCCCACTGTTGCCTCCCTCCACCAGGAATACAGAGCATCCCTTGCCCCAGACTGAGAGTTCCTATCTATACCTGGTGGCTAACAGCCACTGATGGACTTCACCTCCATATCTTTATCCAATTCCCTCTTGAAGCCGTCCCTGCTTGTAGCTGCCGCCACCTCCTGTGGCAGTGAATTCCATGTGCTAATCACTCTTTGGGTGAAGAAGGACTTCCTTTTATCCCTTCTAACCTGACTGTTCCGCAATATCATGGAGTGCCCAAGAGTTCTTGTTTTGTGAGAAAGGGAGAAAAGTACTTCTTTCTCTGGCCATAAGGCAGAAGTTGACCTCTTAGGCTGCCGAGACATGAGAAAGGTGCCCTTGGCTTTATTTTCTCACCTGGTCCCGTGTGTGTCATCCTCCACACAAGGAAGATGGTGTT